GGATGGATGGATGGATGGATGGATGGATGGATGGATGGATGGTGATGAGTTGTACGAACCCCCAATAAAATGATATTAAAAAAAAGATTGAAAACTCTGCACATTAGGAGAGAAGAAATCACATATACATAAGGACACTGATGACTAAGTGCTCTTTTAATTAGAGAGCAAGAAGACAATAGAATATTAGGTAGATCAAGGTGGTAATAAATGGCTAAAAAATGGAATAGGGGAAAGAAATGCATTTTTATAAGATCTATAGCAATCTTCAACCTACAGCACAAAATACAAGAATGAACTTATTACAGTTTTTTGTACATACTATTGCAATTTATTTGTGAAATAATCCACTCTTTCAGCATATTTAAAAGTCAAGATGATGCAATAGATCTAAAAGTGTTCTGTGTGTGGGTAAAAGCTATCTGTGTTCTTTGACTCAGGGGAGTACGAGAATAGGAAACTCAGCTTTCCCTCCTGTTCTTGCTCTTCCAGGTTCCATTTGATGTGCTTGTAATCTATGTTAAATAGATAGGCGAGACAGCTAAAAGTCCGTTTGTTTTTTTGGGGGTTTTTTTTGCGGCCATCTAGCCCTGAAGCAACAAAGCCCACATGAAAGCAGCACACCAACATGTGTAATCATGAAGGGCCAAAGAGACCAGGCTTTAAACACCGTTTGTTTTAAGTATACCTAGTTTATGATTTCCTTACAAGGCCAAATTCAAGACTTTATTTCTCTCTCAAGAATTATTTCTCATTAACAGATCCAAAATGAAAGCCAAGTGAATACCAGGCATTTTATAATGGGCAAATCCAGAAAAATAACAATAATAAGATCATTGTGTTTATTTAATACTACTTCTAACGCTAACTTATAAATTTTTCTCTTCCTTCTAATGCAAAATAGGGTCCAAAATTCAATCCATCTTGCTAATGAATTCTTTTAATGGACTATTAAGAGTTGAATTATATTTAATCTAATAGTGTGAACATCTTTGAGGCTCTTAAAGTACATTTGAAATTGATTATGAAACCAACTACCCACGTATCTATGATTAGTGTAGGAGAAAGATCTGCGCTAGCAATGAGAATTGTCACTCAACAATCAAACCACTTTGGCTAATTTGGTAGCTCCTACTTAAATTTTTTTAATGTTTTTTTAAGTGGAGAGGGAGTTTTCTTTTCTTGTACTTGGCTTTTAGCACATAATTATTGAGAACTATTTATTTCACAAATTGATCATTGCAATTAAGCAGCGGGAAAAAATCACAAAGCAAGTATGGAAAAGTTTTTCTTTTTTTGTTTTGGAATCGGTGATGGATCTGATCGCTACGTCAATAAATACAAGTTTCAAGCCATAATTATAGGAGAAATGTTCAGAATCTGATAATATTTAAAGATGAATACAACATACTGTGAATTCCTATTTATTTTTATTTTTTCATAAAATTAGAAGCACATTCGTGTGGACCATTCTGTATGAATAAAATAAATGCATTTGGAGCCTTCTCTTGCTCTTAGGGTCTGTGTTGACCACAAGCTAGATCTCGTCACTTAGCAGGGTTTCCTTCCTTCAATACCCTTGGCAGCTGAAATGCTGTCACTGCTTCCACTGTGTTAAGTATAAGGGAAAAAACAGTTTTTATTTTTGAAGTTTCTCCCTTAATATCATTCAAGATTTGAGAAGGAAAGAAAGGAAAAAATAGTCAATTTTTCTTCCAAGATGAAACAACAGATGGTTTGTTTTCCATTTTAAAAATAGATAACATAAAATAAAATTGATCAATTGTACACGTGTAAATCATGAATTTTGACCCAAGCCATGGTATTTTCCATTGCCTCATAGCATGTGAAAGTTGAACATTGAATAAAGAAGACCAAAGAAGAATCAATGATTGCACTGGAGAAGAATATTTCTATTCACTTTTAAAAGATATTTTGTTGTATGTAGAATTCCATTTTATTAATATGTTCAGCACTTTAAAATTCCATTCTATGTGTGCTGCCTAATCCAGAATATTTTTCTCCTGCATGCTATTAATCAGAATGGACTCAATGACAACAATGTTTCATTTCTCTTTCCTGATTATTTCCATTTTTTTTCCTTCATGGATTACTTTAAAAGATGTGAGCGTAATGTACGTTTTGTAATTTTCTCTGTTTATCTTGATTGAAGTTCAATGTGATCAAGTTCTATTTGATCCACAGATTAACATACTTCATTATATCAAGTATGATATAATGCCTTCTCTTTACTGAGACTATCCTTACTGATGTATCAAATTGCCTAACATCCCAGATTTACTCGAGCGCTATTCATCTTTTTCACTCTTTCTGTCTGTAGTTTGGTTTGGATATATTCTATTGCTATATCTTTCATTAATCATTTTCTGCTCTAGTCTCTCATTGCCAATTAAATTCACCCTGTACTTTTTTGCATTTTGGATCTTATATTCTGTAGCTCTTAGAGTGCTATTTGCTTCTTTTACATATCTTCAGTTTCTTTCCTCATTATGTTCATGTTTTCAGAGTACATTTTAAAAGTCGTTTCCTGTTAAGTTAATCACTTTTGGCATTTCTAGTCTGTTTCCATTAGCTAATTTCAATGATGACAAACAGTCACATTTTTTCTGCTTCTTCAAATGCATAATATATTTTATTGGATACCAAATATTATGGAATAATGTAAACAGTGAGATTTTGTGGCCTCCTTTAAAGAATGTTAACATTCGTATTGGCAGAATGGTGTTCCCTGAAGATAAGTTTTATTTATACTATCAACTTATATTTAGACTGTAAGAAATTTGAGAAATTTAGTCATCAACTTGACTCCTTAAACTACCAATACACGTCTTTAAGATTAAAGCATTATTTCTAAAACAGATTAGAAAAGTATAAATACGATAGAGGAGAAAATGATCCTATATGGAGTGGATATGCCAGTTAGTAACTTAGGTGAGACAAGGTGGTTGGTCATTCTACCTTCCAACTAAACCACTCCTTTCAACTCTTACGGGCACTACTGAGACAAGTAAAATTCAACACCCTAACTTGTTTTTCTTTCTTTTCTCCTTTTCAGCTTTTAAATTGTGTTTCAGGAGAACGCTTACAGAACAAATTAGTTTTTAATTTTATAAAAAGTACGTTTTGTGGTGTTCTGTTTTGTGACCTTGGGTGTATTTCGCTCAACGTAACAGCACTTTCTCTCGGGGTTCATGTTTCCATCTGTCCTTTTCCGTCTCTTTCTTTCTGCTAGATGAGCACTGTTTGGGGATACATGCTGCTCATTGGGTTCTGGTTGGCTAATTATTCTGGGGAGGATTCTCCTTACAGGGGTTACTATTCACTTTTTATGTCTATCTCTTGGTTGGCTGAAAGAGATTCCTGACAGTGAGTTCTGTTTCAGATTTGAGGGATGTACACAAGTCAGTCTCGGGCTGTATACATGTCTTCCACCGTCTTGATCAGACAGTGAGTCTATTTATTTATTTTATTTTGAAGTTTGTTAGACATTTTATTCCCACTCATCTGGGACCTTCTGTTGTGATCATGTTGGGAGTATCTGGGTGTGGTAGATGGGCACAAATCGTTCTCTGGTCTCAGGGGAGTCGAGGCTGTGGTTCGTGTGGTCCATTGGTCCTTTGGAATAATTGTTTCCTTGCATATAATTTGCTTCACTCTCCTTTGCTCCATGTGGGGAAAAAAACAGATTGTTATGTTTTAGATGAGTGCTATAAAGCTTTAAAGACCCCACGAGTACGTAGAACATAGTCTTCGTGTGGACTATTAAACTAGATGTCTTCTAAAGACCCTGGCATTAAACTCCCCAAATCCAGTCACTTGTTTCATCAAGGTGTTTTGGGTATGCCAGATCCTAATTCTCAGCAAATGACTTGGCAACCCAACTAAACCCATAACCCTTCTTACACGGAAGTGAAGGAAATACCGCAGTCTGGCTGGTCCCCAAGAAAGTGCCCAAAGACCCTTGTTTGAACAACTCAGATTTTAAAACTAAAAAATTCGATTATCCCAAAAGCAAAAGACCCTTACAAAAGAAAGTACCATCTTCAAAACTGGCAAAAGTAATTTTAAATAGTAGTAAAAGAATAAAAGTTTTTAATTATCATATAATTCTAAGACCCCAGTTACAGTAGGCTAAATTTTAACTGTTGTTAAAATATTCTTCTTGAGTAGAATACAAATGTTCTTCAAAATATAGGGCATTCATTAGTTCACCTTGTACCATAGCCTTTCCAAAATCATGATGGGAAGTTGAGAAAATGCAAGAAATTCTGATTTGGGTTGCGGTGAGGAACAACAGTATCTGTGAAACAAGGAGGAGTTGAGAATCCCCCCCCCCCCACCATGCTCTCAGAAGTTAGCTAAACCTTAAAAGAGTCTTCTAATATTATTTCATCATACATTTATAGTATAAAAGTCAAGTGAAAAACTGAAGATTAGGTTTAAGGGGTAAGAATTTTGCCCTCATAGTACAGTTCTGGTTTAGCCTGGCCTCCCTCCCTTCTCTTTATTCCTTCAACGACATGCCTTTCATCCATTTATCTATGGGCCTGGATCACTGACATGGGAACATTCCCTAAGGAGTTAGGCCTCTTCATTAAACTGTGGGTATAATGGAAGTGATGAGGTAGTGTTTAACTACAGGTATGACAGCTCCATATCCCAGTTTATAACACATTTCTTTCCAAGGGTGCTTCAGAAAACCTTTAGAAAAGAAAACTGTAAGAATATTTTCAATATGTGCTACATAGTAAAGCTATTATTTTAAAAGACTATATTTAAATAGGAAGCCTGGTGACAATGATTACGTGCCTGGCTACTAACAACAAGGTCAGCAGTTCAAAAGCACCAGCGGCTCCACATGAGGAAGATGAAGCCGCCTGCTTTTGTGCAGAATGATGGCCTTGGAAAGCTATGCAGTAGTTCTCTCAACTTGAAGTCTAAAAAACTCAATGCCAGTGGGTCATATGTTAATGCTCATTAAGGTTATTATCTGTCCAACAAATAAATGATGAAAATGTGGCTATCCCCACCGCCACACTCCTTCTTACTGTTTAATAGGCATATGTTTTCTCTTCATCAGTGAGCCATTTAGAAACAGGATGGAGAGCACTGGATAGCAGGGCACTGGCATGAACGTGGAGCCCTATCCTCTGGGAACAGTTGTCATGGTAGCAGAAGCTAAGGTTCAATTTTTTTCTTCAAACTGTACTGTTTTGTATTGGATAGAACAATCATATGAATATTTACCGCTCGCAATTAAGAGATAAAATATTTTCTTTTACTTAGCATAACAGTCTGCTTGAATAGAAATTATATACAAGAAAACTTCAGAAATTATATTTTCAAACAATGGAAGGTAAAAGTGGAAGGGAACAATGTGTGACAACTGAGAAGAGAACATATTGGGGGAAAACGCTCATGGAACAACATTCCCTAATTTGGTCATAATCATCTGTTTTTATGTGAAGGTGTGTGAGCTTGGAAATCTGAAAACCCTCATTAAACCAAACAGACTTTTGGAAAGGCTCAGGGGCTTGCACACTCAGCTGGAGGTTATTACATGATCGTTCGGTGTTTCTCAGAGGCTTTGTGGTTGTGAGCCCAAACATCCGAGATAAGTGATGTCAAGCTCCCTCCAAGTTTGAGTCTAACAAAACTGGCCACTGTAAAAATACGGCCAACAATACCGGCACTGGTCCTAAGCTCTTTAATTCTACCCGATGCAGGAAACCTCTGGGCTGCTGAGTGGATCATTTGGCATTTTTGACCACAGAGCACAATTTACTGTTACATTTCACTACAAATTCATGGCTGGCCAGACAATGTACTCCAGAGTAGAATAAATACATGTTTTAATGAGCAGCTGAAATGTGACCTGGCCAATATGAGTTCTAAAGAACAAAGGGTGCTTTTCCATAGCTGAGGCCAACCACAGAAGGGCCTAGGGCCAGAAACAAATAAATCCATGACTCACTCAAGTGGAAGAAAAAAGAAGAAATGGTGGGGGCAGTGGGGTTGGCCTGAATAGGAAAGGAAAATACTGCCAGTTTACTTCTGCTAAAAGATGAGGAGGTCAAGGGAATTAAATTAAATGATTCTGATCAATAACGGAACACATGAGACAGTTGAATACTGCACTCTCACATTCAAGATAATGTCAAAGTCATTGTCAGTAACTTCCTGTTTACAAATATTACTATTATTGGCCAGTTTCAATGAACTAAGAAATTGAAAGGGCACCATGACTTGGCCACACGACTGCCTGAATGTGGTCTAGGGACCACGAGGACATAGTGGTGTCAACTGATGTACTAGGGGTTCTTGAAAAATTGGATGGAAATGACACTCAACGTCTTTTGTGGCAATAAGTTACGGTTGTATAGCTCTAGCATCCAGTTATAAAGATTGAGATCATCTTAAAAACGAATGATTTTTAGCTCAACTGGATCCTTTCTGGGATGTTATGTGAGAGAAGTCAGACAAGACAGCAACCTCAAATGTGGATAATTAGCTTTTCCCTCCGACTATTCCCTGAACCAACACCCTTTAACCACACACAATTTTTTTAAAAATCCTCTAATTACTGGTACTAAAAACCACACAAATACTTGGTAAATTACCACTGTATGAGATTATCAGCTGCATATTATTACAGATCAAATAAAAATTTTATAAGATGGTCCAAGCCCATCAAAAGCATGACCCTTACGTAAGAACAAAAGTTTAAAATATAAAAAAACAGAAAATAAAAACATAAATATTCCTATTATTTGGAGGACTGTTGCTAAAAGTATTCAAATTGGGCAGAGGATCTTGTATTTGGTGATCTCATATCCTCAAGAGGAGGCACATGAAAGGAATTCCACACTGTGACCACTTGGCTATGTGGCTCGTTTCTGAAGGGAACCCTGGGAAACGGAAACAAGAAAAAATGAACTCAGACTTTAGGTTTTCTCTCCCCGCCCCACCTGATGCTCCCTTCTACCTCTCAACCAGTGGTTCTCAACCTTCCTAATGCCACAACCCTAAAATACAGTTCCTCATGCTGTAGTGACACCCAACCATAAAATTATTTTCCTTGCTATTTCATAACTGTAATTTTGCTACTGTTATGAATCGTAATGTAAATATCTGATATGCAGGATGTATTAGGCGACCCCTGTGAAAGGGTCGTTAGAATCCCAAAGAGGTCACGATCCACAGGTTGAGAACCGCTGCTTGGAAACAATCCAAGCATGCAAAGCGTTCTACCATACAGAAGCAGCTCTATCCAACGACACTGTGTGGAGGAGTGAATTCTGACGCACAGGGCAGCGCTGCCCTCGAGGTTCTGAGTCTGGAACTCTTCGTGAAAGTAGAAAGAGTCAAGGCTTTGCCAGTTCAAGTTTGTTGTTACCTTTCCTTTAATCGTCTTAGTTTTTAATACACTTCTGAAGCAATGACTCATCCTAGTCAAAAAGAATTCATGATGACCAACTTTTCAATGCTTATTTTCATCAAACAAATGAAAACACACTGTCGGAGAGTCGACTCCAACTCTGCAGAGCAGAATAGCCCTGCGCTGCGGGTTTCCAAGACGGCGTCTCTATGGGCAGAGAGGACCTCCTCTTTCTCCCACAGAGCAGCCGGCACCTTCAAACTGCTGCGGAGCTTTGGGTTCACAGCCCGGTGATTGCCCCGTTACACCACTGGCTGCTAACCTTAAGGTTGGCAGTAAAAAACCACCAGTTGCTCCATTGGAGAAAAAGGAGACTTTCTATTTCAGTAAAGATTCTTGGCAACCCACAAGGGCATTTCTACCCTATGCTACAGGGTCACTAGGAGTCAGAATGAATTTGATGGTAGTGCATTTATTTTTCATTAATTACTTTTTTAAAACTCCTTGAACACATCACATCTCTAAAATACCAGACTAAAACCAAAAACAAACTCAGAGACAGTGAATCTTTACTGGAAAATACGGACTGATCTTTTTCCACATATACAGCTGTGGGTTTGAACTGGAAAATACGGACTGATCTTTTTCCACATATACAGCTGGTGGGTTTGAACTGCCAAACTGAAAGCAATCTGATGCTTAATCTACTGAGCCATCAGGGCTCCTAATGGTCAAATAATAATCATGATGTTTGTAATAAGAGAATGCCTTGTACATTTCCCCTAAACTATAAAATTCTACAGGGAAGCTGTGTACTAAAGGGTCGGTAATACTATTTTACTTTGCTGTACTCGAGGACAGAGGAATGGTGTCCAGAAGCATATAAATTTGGCAAACAATCACAACCCTTTCCTGGCTTCTTATTGGTCTTTTCTTTCCCCCCAGCACCTGCCATGCGAAGACTTCATGCTCCAAAAACCAAAGGCTTCCTCACCCTCGATATCATGAACTTCAGAAAGCTTCAAGGCCCAAATTTAGAAACATGAAATACAATTACTGCCAGTCCTTTCTCCACACAACTGACAAAAAACAAAACAAAACAAAGCACCCTATCCCAGTCACTACCAACTTTAGTCTATCTCATTAGCTGCCGTCAAGGCAGATAGGGGACCTTCTCTACGAAATGTCTTATGCTTACATTCTTTTGTCAACCCCCCGCTTTCTCATCCCATTTAAAATCCTTTTGATTACAAAATCGTTTTCATTCATATTTTAAATTAACTTATGTTTATATGAGAGATAGAAACAGAACATAAAAGGAAAAGGATATCTGAGAAAAGAAGGAATATAGTTCATCAAAGAGGTCTCGTTGGCACCTTTCGGAAGTAGTTCTGATAGAATCGGAAGCATAGAAACATGAATATAATTAAAATATGCACATCCTCTGGGACTAGGTCGAGACTACACATTATTCATCCTCAGGAGCCCGGGAGGCATCGTGGTTACGCAATGAGCTGCAGTTTGAAATACCAACAAGATTTGCAGTAGAAAGACAAGGTTTTCTACTCCCATAACGAGTTTTAGTCTCAGAAATTCACAGAGGCAGTTCTACTTTGACCTCTAGGGTTGCTGTGAGTCAGAATTGACTTCATGGCAGTGAGTTTGGTTTGGGTAGGTGTAAATGCCCTGATGTCTTATATCAGATATTGCTTAAAGAAGCCCGATGAACAAATGACATGCTTATGTTTTCAGGTAGCAGCTATGACTCAAGGTGATGCTAAAATGATGGCAGAAACTTTTCTTATGTTTTCACCTGAGCAATATATCATCGATTAAAAAGACAAAAGCATTAAGGAATGATTTATTAATCATTGACTATAAAACAGCAACTTCTCTGTATAGCCTTCATGGTGGTACTTTCAATCATTAGTCTGTTGTGCATAAATTCTAAGTTTTTAAATTAATGTTCCTATCAACCAATTATAGAAGGCAATAACTAATGAGAGCCTCAAGGTTGCTGTGTAAAAGCATATTATCCCGCATTAGACCTTGACAGATTGCTAGCCAGCAATAGCTTTTAGAAATCTTGGTAGGCACTCCCAAATTATTCACACAACAATAATTAGGCATAGAGTTTCATAGGTTTGATATCAATTTTTAAAAACACTTTACTTTTTGCTTTATTCTGAATAATGCTATCATTATACAGCACTGTAGGTTTTTGCATTTTATAATGAGGCTATAATATTGCTTATTTGAAGGAATTAATGCTAGTGGATCGACATAACAAGTAAAATAAAAATATACATAAAATAATTTCATAAGACTTCAACAATCATTAATTTGGGACAAGTAATCTTTTAGAGATTATTTTTAGTATTTTTTTAATCATTTTATTAGGGGCTCATACAACTCTTATCACAATCCATACACACATCAATTGTGTAAAGTGCATTTGTACATTCATTGCCCTCATCATTCTCAAAACATTTCCTCTCCACTTAAGCCCCCGGCATTAGGTCCTCATTTTTCCCCTCCCTCCCTGCTCCCCCCTCCCTCATGAGCCCTTGATAATTTATAATTTGTTATTTTGTCATATCTTGCCCTGTCCGACGTCTCCCTTCACCCACTTTTCGGTTGTCTGTCCCCCAGGGAGGAGGTCACATGTAGTTCCTTGTAATCGGTTCCCTCTTTCCTACCCACTCTCCCTCTACCCTCCCTGTATCGCCATTCACACCACTGGTCCTGTAGGGATCATCCACCCTGGATTCCCTGGATTTCCAGTTCCTATCTGTACCAGTATATCATCACTGTTCACACTTCGTGGTAGTCTACAATGGGTCCAATACTTGAACAAGAATTTGCTTTGTAACTCCGGGAACTCATACGAATCCCAGAGCACTCTTTAACTTGAGTCCCCTGGACTTAGTCTGCAACCTGAAACTAGTATTTCCCAAAGCAATAAATTTGTGCCATGACAGTAAGACTTGAAATACCTTTTCAAAATATGCCATAATCAATCACTTTCCTGAAGAGTCACCAGACTCATAATTATATTAATATGTATAAAGAAACTTGTTTACCACACATATTTTAGCATGTATATATGCATAAGTAATTCTTTAATTCTTTAGGGAAGTAGAAACCCCTGTCTTTCACCTGTGGAGCTGCTGGTGGTTTTGAACTGCTGATTTTGCTGTTAACAGCCCAACTCATAAGCACAACGCACTTTTCCTATAGGGTTGCTGTGAGTAGGCATAGACTCAGTGACAGAGAGTTTCTTTTGGGTCTCTGTTGTTGGTGTTGGCTGTTACATACATATCACTATAATATACACATGTATATGTATGTATTCCTATGTGTATACATCCATCATTTTGTCAGTTTGTCCTACTGTGGTGACCTGCTTGTTGCTGTGATGCTGGCAGCTATATCACCAAACATTCAAATACTGGAAGGCACTTGGAGGGCAAACTGGGAGGGACGAGTAGGAATACCACTTATCAGAAATTAGCACTCAAAATCTTAAATAACAGCAGAACATTGTCAGATATAGTTCCAGAAAATGACTCCACAGATCACAAGGCACTCAACATACAACTGGAAACAATCTGTCTCCTCACAGGAGAGTTTGCCTTAGTGAGGTGACTGGAGCAACACTTTGGGGAGCTCCTCATGCTGGTGAAATATGACTCAAAAGGAGAAGAAACAGTTGAAATCCTCCATTAATAATCAGAGTGTGGAATACACAAAGTATGAATTTAGAAAAACTGGAAGTCATCAAAAATAAAATGAAGTTGGAGGGAGGTCAGGGAGGTGTGGGGGGGGGGAAATGACGAGCTGCTACCAAGGGCTCAAGTAGAAA